TGCTAACCAAAAGGTCAGCAGTTCGAATCCACCAGCCGCTCCTTGGAAACCCTATGGGGCAGTTCTACTCTGTCCTATAGGGTCACTATGAGTCGGAATCGACTCAGTGGCAACGGGTTTGTTTTTTTCTGGAAACAGGAGGTTTCTTGGGTTATGTTAATGAGGTCATACAGAGTAGGGTGGGTCCAAACCTAATCCCTCTGAGTGGTTTCTTATAAAAAGAGCAGAACAGACACAGACACACCCACAGGGGAAGGCAAACATTAGGTGAAGACACATCTACAAGCAGTTATGTCAGGAAAGCCAAGAAACGCCCAGAGCTCCAGAAGCTAAAAGAGACTAGAGTCTTCCCCTAGAGCCCACAGAGACAGTCCAGCTCTGCTGATGCCCTGAATTCAGATTCCCAGGCTCCGAAACTGTTCTTTGAAGCTACTCACTTGTGATATTGTATAGTGACCCTGTATGACAGAGTAGAACTGCCCCATAGGGTTTCCTAGGCTGTAATTAAGGAGCCCTGGTGGCACAGTGGTTAAATGCTCAGCTGCTAACCAAAAGGTCAGTGGTTTGAACCCACCAGCAGCTGCTTGGGAGAAAGATGTGACAGTCTGCTTCCATAAAGATTTACAGTCTCGGAAACCCTATGGGGCAGTTCTACTCTCTAACATATGAGGTCGCCATGAGTTGGAATTAACTTGACAGCAGTGGGTTGTTTCTTAAAAAGCTTTACAGGAGAAGTTTGCCAGGTTTTTTCTCCTGTGGAACTGCTGCTGGTGGGCTCAAAGCAGCCAGATGCCTAACCGTTGCACCACCAGGGCTCCTTGTTTTGTTACAGTAGCCCTAGCAAACAAAGACAGGGTTTTGTCAATGTCTGTTGAAGAGAAAACATCAGCAATAGCGAGTGCCCCAAGGGTGGAGAAGGAGAAGGGAGAACACAGGTCAAGCCAGGGGAGCCGCCACTTTCACCTCTCCCCGCCCTGGGGGCAACTGACACTGCACCCTTCCTGCTTCCAGGACTGGCTGGCTGGGAGTCTGCTCGGAAATCAGAGGGAGGAGGCAGCCAGGTGGGTTCAGACAAGTGCGATTTCTTGGGACACTGGAGCTGGGGTGCTGGGGGTGGAAAGGCAGAGAGGACAGCAAGTGCATCCAAGGAATAGACACATGGCCAGAGTGGCTGCAGAGAAGAGCAGAGGACAGGGATGGGAGATGAGGAGAGGAGAGTGGGCCTTGAGGGCCTGTCAGGAGTGTGGGGTTTATTATAGGTGCAGTGAGGGAGGCTGCTGGGGGTTTTTCTATAGGGCAGTAACATACTAAGATTCATGTGAAGAAAAAAAAAATCCTTCTCTCTGACACCCCACACGTCTTATTACCTGATATATCCTTAAAATAATAGCCCTGTGTACCGAAACTGAGGTCCCTGGGTGGCAAAGATGGTTTGCATTTGACTGCTAACTGAAAGGCTGGCAGCTGGAACCCACCCAGCAGTGCTGCAGAAAAACAGCCTGGTGATCTGCTTCCATAAAGATCACAGCCAAGAAAACTGTCTTAGTCACCGTGCACTGCTGTAACAGAAATACCACAAGTGGATGGCTTTCACAAAGAGAAATTTATTTTCTCACAATCTAGTAGGTTAGAAGTCCAAATGCAGGGCATCCGCTCCAGGGGAATGCTTTCTCTCTCTGTCAGTTCTGGAGGAAGGTCCTTGTCATCATCAGTCTTCCCCCTGACTAGGAGCTTCTTTGTGCAGGAACCTTGGGTCAAAGGACTAGGAGCTTCTTTGTGCAGGAACCTCAGGTCCAAAGGACGTGCTCTGCTCCCAGTGCTCCTTTCTTGGTAGTATGAGGTCCCCAGTTCTCTGCTTGCTTCCCTTTCCTTTTGTCTCTTGTAAGGTAAAAGGTGGTGCAGGCCACACCCTAGGGAAACTCCCTTTACATTGGATCAGGGATGTGACCTGGGTAAGGGTGGTGTTACAATCCCATCCTAATCCTCTTTAACATAAAATTACAATCACAAAATGGAGGCCAACCACACAATTCTGGGAATCATGGCCCAGCCAAATTGATACACACATTTTCTGGGGGACATAATTCAAACCACGACAAAAACCCTACAGAGCAGTTCTACTCTGTAACACATGAGGTCGCCATGAGTTGGAATCGACTCCACAGCAACAGGTTTGGTTTTTTGGTTTCACTGAAATTGGAGTCCCTGGGTGGTGCAAATGGTTAATGTGCTTGGTTGCTAACTGAAAGGTTGAAGGTTCAAGTCCACCCAAAAGTGACTGTGAAGAAAGAATGGTGATCTACTTCCAAAAAATCAGCTATTAAAAACCCTACCCTCTGGCACACGTGGGGTCGCCATGAATAGGGTTGACTCGATGGCAACTGGTTTTACTGGAACTGCTCTCTACTCCTGATAATCAAAAGGGCCTTGACAGGAAAGGAGAAAGAGAAGGGAGGAGCAGGCATTATGGGGGGATGGGGCGGGACAAGGCAGCATCAGCAAGTACTTCCAAGGAGAAGACACACCTGAGTTGAGTGCTCAAGGATGCGCAGGAATTGCTGGGCAAAGGGGAGGGAGAGTGGATAGGCCTTCCACGGAGTGGGCACACAGCAGCAAAGGCAGGGAGCAGGACCCAGGTGTGCACAGAGCCAGGAGCAGGTGGAGGGTGTGGCAATGGCCGAGGCTGGGGGTGATGCTGAGACTGCAGGAGGCCACGGGCCCCAAGTTAGGAGCTTCCGTGGAGCCTGGTGGCTGATGGGGGCCTTTGGAGGCATTTACTCAAAGAGGGGATCAGACCAGGAGACAGATGCCAAGGCTGGGGCAGGAGCAGTATGCTGGGCCCAGAGAGCAGGGGCCGATCAAGCAAGGGTTTGGAGTAAAAGGCCCAGGCTTTTGGTCTGGGTGAAAGGCCAGAAGGAGACACCCCACCTGTGATAAAGAACTGAACCTGAAGAGGGAAAAGCATTTCTAGAACAGCTGCCATTTACTGCACACCTACAGCGTGCCAGGCCGTGGGCCAAACACCTCGCGTGACCCTACCTGGGCCTCATGACAACCTCTGGAATAGACACTATGATTATTCCCATTTTACAGGTGAGAAAACTAGGCTGAAAGGTAAATTCAGTTGATCAAGTTTCCACAGGCAGCAAGTGGCAAAACAAAAATTAAATTTGTCTGATTCCAAAACCAGTGTTCTTGGCCTTTACACTGGAGGCATGGGCCTTCAGCTGGGAGGAGATCTTTGGGCTGGGGACAAATCTGCACATCCCTTATACATGGGGGCAGATGAAATCCAGAACAGACATAGCTGGGATGGTTCACATGAACCTCCAGTATCCAGTGCCAGAATGACCCCAAAGGGATCTGAGCTCCATAGCCTAGAAGAAAGTTCTCTTCCAGGTACAGAAGACAAGGAAAATAACTCTGTAAAGACGATGTGCCTAACTTGTGGAGAATTTACATGGTCCCAAGACTGAAAAAGCTGAGTCTGTACATTACAGATCCCTGGGTGGTACAAACAGTTAACATGCTCACTGCTAACCAAAAGAGAGGAGGTTCGAGTTCACCCAGAGGCACCTCAAAAGAAAGTCCTGGCAATTTACTTCTGAAAAATCAGCCATTGAAAACCCTATGGAGCACAGTTCTACTCTGACACATATGGGGTTGCCATGAGTCAGAGTTGACTCAATGGCAACTGGTTTGGTTTTTTTTTTAGCTCTAGAAGGAATCTTCACGGTCATCTACCATTGTTTATTACTGAGTACTTCCTATGTGCCAAGCACCATTCTAAGTGCTTTCTGTATACAAATGCATTTAATACTTACGATCCTCTGAGGTACTGTTATCCCATTTTACAGGTGAGAAAACTGAGGCTTAGAGGTAAGTAACTTGTCTAAGGTCACACAGCTGGTCAGCGGCAGAGCCACGATTCAAACAGACTGCCTGGTCCAGAATTGAGCTGCTAACCGGCATCACTAGGCTCCTGCTTTGTGTCAGCCCTGGGGTCCCACTGGTGAGCACAGCAGATGTGGCAGCTGCCCTCCCAGAACTTACATCTAGTGGAAAGATACTCGTTAATCAGATAATCAGCCTTAGGAATAGGGGGTCAAATGAGATCCCATTTGAAAGGAAAGTCATAGCAAAGGAAAAGGAACCTCATTCTATTACAAGTTAAGCTGAGATTGAAGGTGGCACGTAGGGGGTTAACCAGGGGCAGAGAGGGGAGAAGAGCATTTCAAGCAGAAGGGGCAGCATCTGCAAAGCCCCTGTGGCAGGAGGGAGGATGGAGCATTCTGGGAAGTGAAAAGAAACCAGCGTGGCTGGTGTGGAAGGCAAGAGGAGACTGGAGGGGGGACAAGAGTCTGGGAGATGTGCAGTGAGGTCTGGGGCAGGGGATGAACACTGATCCTTATCTTAAGAGCTAACCTCTGCCCCCTCCATCTCACAGGAAACCCTGGGCCACAGAGGGGAAGGGACCCACTGAAGGCCACACGGCCAGCGAGGGTGGTCCTGGTGCCCCAACTTTTAGCCTAAGAGAAGACACCCTGGAAGAAGGCAGAGGGGAGGCCGCTCACATCACCACTTTTCTCAAGAAAACAAAACAAAAAAACCACCTGCCATCGAGTCGATTCAGGCTCGTGGCAACCCCACGTGCGTCAGAGCAGAACTGTGCTCCATGGGGTTTCCAATGGCTGACTTTTCAAAAGTCGACCGCCAGGCCTTTCTTTCAAGGTGCCTCTGGGTGGACGAACCTTTAACCTTTAGTTAGCACCCAAGCATGTTAATGTTAACCATTTGCACTACCCAGGGGCTCCTTCCTCGAGAAAATCAGTGTCTTATCTCTCCCACTGCTGACTTTTACTTTCAGAAATAATCTTCACTTCCAAGTGATCTCATAGTCGCTCTGGTTCCTGCATTTAGACTGTGTACACACAGGTCTCTAGTACCGGGTGTTTCTTGGCTCTGCAGAGCCTGGTTTATTAGGGAGCAAATGACATAGATGGACAGCTGAGACACAGGCAGGCAGGCTACTGGCCTGGGGGAAGGAGGCCTGCGGGTAAATCATTCTGTATCACCTCTGAGATACAGATTTCTCCTAGAGCCACAAAGGCCTGTAATATGGAATGCATACCTAGCAAAAGCCAAAACTATGCCATCTCTCAGGGAAGAAGGGTATCACCTGGACAAACTGCAGAACCTCAGAAGACATGCAATCCTCTCCGCATGACATCACTGCTTTTGCTCGATAAATATTTAAGAAACTTAGCACCATCTGATCACTCCTCTTAAGCTTCTGGGAAAAGAAACTCAAGGAAGACTAAGCCTCCTCAGTTTCCCCATCTTTGCAATGGGGAGGACACACCTGTCCAGCTCCAGAGAGGCCTAACGTCAGAAAATCTCTAGGAAGCCTGATCTGGCCTTTCCCTTCCCGGCAGCCCCTGGGAGGAGGGGTTATGACTCATGATCAGCACAAAAGTCCTGTCTGCTGGCTCTGGGGGAGGTTTCTGATGACCAAGGAGAGGCTGGGATTCTCAGGTACTTCAGGGCGAAGGAAGAGAAGCTGGAAGCAGGGGAGGTGCCTGAGTGAAACAGAGGGATGGGCTGGGATCTAGAATTATCTGGGTAGTGTGACATTCCCTGGCTGGGCAAGAGCCCTTGTTAGTTGTTGTTGAGTCCATTCTGACTCATGGTGACCCCACGTGTGCAGAGTAGAACTGCTCCATAGACATTTCAAGGCTGTGACCTTCTGGAACCAGATATCACCAGGCCTGTCTTCCGTGGTGTCCCTGGGTAGGTTCGAACTGCCAACCTTTCAGTTAGTAGTCAAGCGCTCAACCATTTGCACCAGCCAGGGGCCTCCTGAGTCCCTAGACTCTCGATATAGTGCTCCAGCCCACGGGAGCTGCCCCGTTCTTTCCTAGACAGCATCCGATGTGTCAGCCAGAGACCAGGGGATAGGGAGGGCCAGGGCAGCAGGGAGCTGCAGGACACTGACTGGGAGTAGGAGACTTGGATTCTGGTTCAGGGGCCACATCCCTTCATGTCTCTGAACCTCAGTTTCCTTATCTGTGAAATAGAGGCAGTACATGTCACCCGTCTGTCCCACAGGGGTGCTGCAACTGCCAGAGAGGTAAGACATCTGGCAGGTCACTGTATGTACCCATTTAATAACCTCTAAGTACCTGTGGGGGCCCTAGTGGCACAGCGGTTAAGAGCTCTGCTGCTAACCAAAAGATCAGCAGTTCAAATCCACCAGCCGCTCCTTGGAAACCCTATGGGGTAGTTCTGCTCTGTCCTACAGGGTTGCTATGAGCCAGAATCAACTTAACGGCAAAGAGTTTGTTTTTTTTTTTTTTTGGTAAGTACCTGTGTAACAGTCCTGGGTGGCACAAATGGTTAAACACTCAACTACTAACTGAAAGGCTGGCGGTTCAAATCCACCCAGAGGATCCTCAGAAGAAAGGCCCAGAGGTCTATTTTCTAAAGATCACAGCCATTGAACACCTACGGAGCATGGATTTTCTGTGACTGACTTTTCAGAAGTAGATCACCAGGCCTTTCTTCTGGGATGCCCCTGGGTAGACTCAAACTGCCAACATTTGGTTAGCAGCTCAGGTGCTTAACTGTTTGCACCACCTAGTTAAATTTGAATTTCAGATGAAGAATAACTTTTTAGTATGTCCCAAACATTACATGGACCATACTTATAAAAGTATATGTGTTGATCTGAAATTCAGCTGGATGTCCTGTATCTTATCTGGCTACCCTACCCCGTGGGGCCCTCCAGCATTTACATGTTTCTGACTGGGGCCTGCTAAGATCCTTGGAGACATGGTGAGCTGTTTCCCAAGTCATGAGAAGGACAGCCTTTTCATTCTGGGCATTGAAAGACAGCACAGCTCACATCTGTTGCAACACCTGGACTGTCATGCTCATAAAAGTTGCTCAAAAAAAGCCCCAAACAGTCAGGCAGAAGTCAGCCTCAGCTAACCTGGTGCCCACAGCTTTGGAGTCTGACACCTATGGGTTCAAATTCTGACTCTGCCACTTCATCCCTGTGTGATCTTGGCAAGTCACTTACCCTCTCTGAGCCAAAGTTTGCTCATCTGTAAAAACATGACAATGCCAGCTTTCTTGGGAGGTTGTTGGGATTAAATAATTAATCCTGGCACACCACAGACACTCCGTAAACGAAAGCTCTTTTCCCTCTTTTCAGTTCCTGCAGCACTCTCCCTCACCTGATTCTCCCATTTTTTGCAATTAGTTTATGCAAATCTCTAATCAAAGGAAAGGTGGTCAGCAGGTGTATACCTTCTGCACTAAGCCCAACTCACCTGGAACAGCGTAGGTACTCAAAAGACTTGGGTATTGATACCAACAAACCTCAGATGTCCTCATGTAAATTTCTTCCTGGCTAAACTTTAAACCCAAGTCCATCCCCTTGTTCCAGGGATCTCTCCCCCCAGCTGCTGATTGGGAAGAAAATCTGCCCAGGTGAAATCATAGCAGAGGCATGTCTAATAATCCAAACTTGGATTATGAGTTGTTTTGGCATCAGCCACCCTTGGGTTCCTTTTGTGTCAGGCACCACGGGGTGCTAAATGGTTTGTCACTCCCGAGTAAAAGAGCATTCCCGGATATGGTCTCAAAGGAGGCTGCAACAAGACCCAAAATGCTTTGGTCCAAGGTTCAGCCTTCCGGACAAAAGCTAAGGGCCCGGCCCCTTTGTCAGCAGACAAGAGCCCAGATGGAACCTTGAGGTGGGCGGGGAGAAAAAGAAGAACAGCCCCTGGCATTGTGACAGCGCTGAAGACACAGGACAGGAAATGAAGACATCCCAGAAAGCCCCACAGTGTCTTCCTAAGTGCACAGAGTGGGGGTTTTCGGCTTGCTTGAAATAAGAAAGCTGGACTTAATAAATTTCAGAAAACCACTTTCTGGCAACATCTGATTTTCTTAAACCTCCAAAACCAAACCCGTTGCTTTCCAGTTGATTCTGACTCATGGCGACCCCACGTGTTACAGAGTAGAACTGCTCCATAGGGTTTTCTTGGCTGTAATCTTTACAGAAGCAGATCGCCAGGCCTTTCTTTCCGGTGCTGCTGGCAACTCAGTTTGAACCGCCCACCTTTAGGTTCACAGTCAGGGCAAGCCACTTGCGCCACCCAGGGACCTTTTCTAAACCTCATTTAGTGAATAAAGGAGGCTACCAGGACCCAACTGGGGGCCCAGGTGAAAGGTCTGGCCCCAACGTCTTCGTAGGAGAGACGTGTCCCGCCCCCAAACCCCCGCCGCTGGCTCTCAGTGGGCCCCTCCCCCTGCGCTTTCCTCCTTCTCCAGGGGAATTCTGGGCGTGTAGGCCAAAGTAATCCTCAGGGGCGGAGCTCCCAGCTGCAGGCGGCTGGCTCTGGGACGAGGCGGCCCTTCCATCACCCGACAGCCTCCAGTCCCCTCTCTGGATCGTCTCTGCTGGCTGTTTTCTGGATTCCTTCTCCCCGCTGAGGTCTATCTGCCCCATCTCCTCACCTGGGGAGGCGTCCATTCCCTCCTCTCCTTTCTCCCTGCCACCCTCTTTTCACCAAACTCTCGATCCTCCCGCCTCTAAAATCCTTTAAAAAAGCAAACGCCCAGCATGCTCTCAGCTACCCGCCGCCCCGCTCGCCCGCGGCCTGGCCACCTCCGCCCCGTCTCGCCTGTCGCTACCTTCAGGTTCACGGCGGGCAGCTCCATCCCGAACCAGGCCCAGGGCACCTGCGTGACAGCGGTACGGGCTCCTCGCCTCTAAACTCGGGAAACAAACTTGCCCGGCCCCGCCCCACCCCGCCCGTTTCAGCGACTCCAACCGGAGCGCCTCTCCGGGACCACGTGAGCGCGGCCCGGTTGCTAGGAGACGGCATCAGTCTGTTCGCGTTCACTACGAGCCTCCCAGCTCCTGCAACTGCCCAGGCAGTTTCTGGGGGCCGGCAGGCACAATATCGGGATTTCTGACGCAAAGGGCGCCATGTCCTGCCTGGTTAATATCCTAGCAGGTGGTGACACCTGGGCTGATGAGACCACCTGCAGCCAGGAGACCCTGGGGAGGGTACTTCCAGGTGCAAACTGTGGATGTAGCAACAGCTGGTGTCTTAGTTCCTGGGGCACACCCTCTCGCCTCCTTCCTTCCCCATGTTAAAATGGAGACATTTACAATAAGTACCAGCCACTCGTTGGAAACCCTCTGGGGCAGTTATACTCTGTCCTATAGGGTCGCTATGAGTTGGAATCGACTCGACAGCAACGGGTTTGGTTTTGGCTTTCTACTCTAGTATGACCTCGTGTTAATTTAACTGACAGCATCTCCAAAGACCCTATTTCCAAACAAGACCAAGTTGGAAGGTACCAAGGGTTAATACTCCAACATATCATTCTGGGGGACCCAATTCAGTCCATAACACAAATATGGTGTCTATGAGTTGGTGTATATTTGTTCGTTCACTGAGCACCTGCTATGTCGCAGCCACTGGGCTAAGGGCTGAGGAGGCTAGACCCTCTTGGGGCTTACAGTCTAGTAAGGGAACAGGCAATAAACAGTAAACAAATAATTTAACAGGGCAATCCTTCAGATATTGTAAGTGCTAAGAAGAGAATAAAATAGGGCAGTACAACCACCTTGGAAAACAGTTTGGCAGTTTCTTAAAAAGTTAAACAAATAGCTGCCATATGATTCAGCCATTGCACTCCTAGGTATTTACCCCCAAAAAACAAAAACCAAACACATTGAAGTTGAGTCGATTCCGACTCATTGTGACCCTATAGGACAGAATAGAACTGCCCCCTAGTGCTTCCAAGGAGCAGCTGGTAGATTCAAACTGCTGACCTTTATGGTTAGCAGCTGAGCCCTTAACCACTGTGCTACCAGGGCTATTCACCCTAGTAGGTGTTTAATAACTATTCACTGAATGAACGAGTGAGTGAATGAATGAATCTATTACATATCAGGTTTGTTGTTGACAGTACAAACTACAAAGATAAACGAGGTGCTTTTTTTTAGCTGAGAGACAGGGTTGGTGAAGGACATGAAAAATTTAAACTTGAATTCCAAACGTATGCTCACTAAAAATATGACCCGAAGCCTTGGAATGTCCTTTGTAGGGGTCCGTTTGTTCTTCCTAGTCAGGAATAGGTCAGGGCAGGACCTCTGGTTCCTTTGAGAATACAGAGGGTTTCCCTTTCCTTTGTTCTTCCTCAGTGCTCTGGCCAGCTGGGTCTCGCTCTAGCCCTCCCTGCCTCTCATGCTTCTGGCCTCAGTCCGGATGAATGCAGTGTCAGTGTGTGAGCTGTGGGACCCGCCACAGACCCGGCCTTGTACTTCATCCTGCTCCAACCTGTCCTCCCCTCCTCACTGTGCTCCATCATTTTCAGCTCAGCCTGGGCTGTATCTTCGTGACAATGCAAGCAGTATAGCTCAAGTTTAAATGTGCGAGCTCTGGAGCCAGACCTCCTTGGTTCCCCCATCCAGTTTTAGTGCCAGCTAGCGATGTGACTTTGGGCAAGCCACATAATTTCTCTTAATTTCAATTTCCTCCTGACTGTAAATAAGAATAAGAATAGTACCCACACCATAAGGTTGTTGCAAGTATTTACTATGAAGGGCTTTTCACAGCCCTAGTGGCACAGTGGTTAAGAGCTATGGCTGCTACCCAAAAGGTTGGCAGTTCGAATCCGCCAGCTGCTCCTTGGAAACCCTATGGGGCAGTTCTACTCTGTCCTATAGGGTCGCTATGAGTCAGAATTGACTCCACAACAATGGGTTTTCTTTTTTTTAACCACAAAATAAGTACTTAATAAATGTCAGCTCTAATCACAAAAATTGTTTGTTTTGTATCCTCTCCTTACAAGATGATCATGGTCTTATTACATACTAACAGGCCTGGATTAAACACATGTCTCAGCAGAAATGCATTGCGTAGGGTTTTTAGAAGTAGATCACAAGGCCTGTCGTGCAAGGTGCCTCTAGGTGGATTTGAACAGCCAACCTTTCAGTTAGTAGCTCAGCGCTTAACCATTTGTGCCACCCAAGGAGCTGTGTGTATTGCCCATTTATTAAGTGCCAGGCACTGTTCTGGGCACTTTACATTGATCCTCACAAGGGCGTCTAATAATTCAAACATGGTCAAAAAATCAAATCCGTTGCCGTGGAGTCAATTCCTACTCATAGCGACCCTACAGGACAGAATATAACTGCCCCATAGGATTTCCAAGAAGTGGTTGGTGGATTTGAACGGCCGACCTTTTGGTTAGCAGCCGAGCTCTTAACCACTGCACCACCAGGGCTCCATACTAGGGTAGGGTGGGTTCTAATCCTATCTGACTGGTGGCCTTATAAATGAGGAGAAGAGACACAGAGAGACAGACAGAGGAAGGCTGGCCGTGCGAAGATGCATCTGCAAGCCAAGGAACACCCAGGGCTACCAGAAGCTGGGAGAGACTAAGAAGGATCTTGCCCTCGAGCCTTCAGAGAGAACATGGCCCTGCAGACACCCTGAATTTGGACTCCTAGCCTCCAGAACGGAGAGACAATACATTTCTGTTGTGGTACTTTGTTACAGCAGCCCTTGGAAGCTGATGCAGCAGATCTTGTGAGGGCAAGTCCAGGATAAATGCCTGTTGAATGAAAGAGGCACGGGAAGGCCCACATGATGGGCAAAGTGGTAAGAAGACACCCGCGTTCCTTTTCTAGCGGTGCCATAATGGATCACCACAAACTCCAAACCCGTTTCTGTTGAGTCAATTCCAACTCATAGCGACCCCATAGGACAGAGTAGAACGGCCCCATAGGTTTTCCAAAGCTGTAATCTTTATGGAAGCAGACTGCCACATCTTTCTCCTGCGGAGCGGCTGGTGGGTTCGAACTGCCAACTTTTTCGTTAGCAGCTGACGGCTTAACCACTGTGCCATCAGGGCTTCTTCACCAATCACTGGGTGACTTAAAACAACAGGCATTATTCTCTCACAGTTCTGGAGGCTAGAAGTCCAAAATCACAGTGTCAGCAGGACGGTGCTCCCTCTGAAGACCCTAATGGAGAATCCTTCTTTGCTTCTTCCAGCTTCAGGTAGTCCCAGGCATTCCTTGGCTTGTGGCAGCATCATTCCAATCTCTGCTTTCCTCTTTATGTGACCTTCCCTTTGTCTCTGTGTCTCAAATTTCCCCCTGCCTTTCTCTTATAAAAACCTGTCACTGGATTTAGGGGGCACTGTGGATCCCTGGTGGCATAGTGATTAATAGCTCAGCTGCTAACCAAAAGGTCGGCAGTTCGAATCCAACAGCCGCTTCTTGGAAACCCTATGGGGCAGTTCTGCTCTGTCCTATAGGGTCGCTATGAGTCAGAATCGACTCAACAGCAACGGGGTTTGGATTTCGGTAGTTCAGTAGTAGAATTCTCGCCTTCTATGCAGAAGACGGGGTTCAGTTCCCAATCAATACACCTCATGCACTGCCACCACCCATCTGTCAGTGGAGGTTTGTGTGTTGGTATGACGCTGAATAGGTTTCAGGGCAGCTTCCAGACTAAAAAAGACTAGGAAGAAAGGCCTGGCTATCTACTGCCAAAAATCAGCCAATGAAAACCCTCTGGGTTACAATGAGTCCGATCCGAAACCCATCATGCGGAAGGTGCAAGACCGGATAGTGTTTTGTTTCGTTGTGCAGGGGGTTGCCATGTGTCAGGGGCTAACTCGATGGCAGATAACAACAACACTGGATTTAGGGCCCACCCTAAATTCAGGATGATGTCGTCTCGAGATCCTTAACCTAATTACATTGGCAAAGATGTTTTTTCCAAATAAGGTCCCATTCACAGGTTCCAGGGATTAGGACTTGGGCGTATCTTTTAAGGACCACTATTCAACCCATTACAATGCATATCCCTTTTCCTACTAGTAAAGCCTGGGAGATGGGCCTCAGCATTCCAGCATGCTATGGAGGAATAGTGTTGCTCTAGGAATTTTAAGGCTTGCATTCTTGCCTTCCTCCCCAACCTCTCCTCCCTAGCTATCTCTCCTGCTTTATATCTTTGTGACCTTGGATGAGTCCCCCAAGCTCTCTGAATTTGTTTCTGCATCTAGAAAATGGGGACAGTAAAACCAGCTCCCTCAGGGTGTGTGAGGCTTAAAGAAGACACTGAATATGAAAAGGCTTTTTATTTTATTTTTGCCGTGGTGAAAATATACACAATAAAACATACACCAATTCTATGATTTCTGCAAGCATAATTCAGTGACGTTGATTACATTCTTCAAGTTGTACAACCATTCTCGCTATCCTTTTCCAAATTATTCTGCCACTATTAACATAAACTCAATGCCCTCTAAGCAAACCCCCCTTTCCCTCTCCTTCATACCTTTGGTAACCACTAATAATCTTTGGTTTTTATATATTTGCTTATTTCATATAAGTGAGATCATTCAGTATTTGTCATTTTGCAACTGACTTCTTTTGTTCAGCCTGATGTTTTCAAGGTTCATCCATGGTGTGGCATGCATCAGGACTTCATTTCTCTTGATGGCCAAAAGGCTTTGAAATGATTTCCAAGTGTCCCTTGATGCACCATGTGGCGGGCACCAACAATGCTGATGTGGGTCCCAGCCACTTCCTTTCCCAAGTGGGTAAACCAAACTGCAGGTCCCAGGGCAGAGCAAATAACCAAAGCACCGTCTGAAAGAAGGTGGCCATTCACAAGACGTACTTTGGAGGAGAAGGGTCTGGAAGGTGAAGCTGTGGTCATTGGTGGTGCAGGGATTGTTGTTGGGTTTCAATCTAGAAATTTTTTCTCCAGTGTTCCCATTCCACTCATTACAAGCGCGCAGGCTCCA